ATGGTGTCTGCTGTTACAGGAGGCAGAGGACAGAACTGTGACTTGGCTATTGGGCAGGGCCACATAAATGTTCCCGCGTGCTTTGATAAGGAGATATAGTGTGTTTAAAGGCATTATTGGAGCAGAAAGAGGATGAAGTGCTGGGCCAGGCAGCATCTACCTATAATTCCAGTTACCTGTAAGGCTGAGGAAGGAGGATGGTAAATTCAAGGCAAGTCTGGGCAATTTAGCAAGACCCTCTTTTTTTTGTATTTTAGGAAAGGATCTACACGGTGTTCAGGTCTCACTACTAGATCGGACTCTAGTGATCTGCTTGTTTACAGCCTCCTGAGAGCTGGGATTACAGGTGCGCGCCACCGCGCCCAGTCTCAATTGCCCTCTCAGTGCACCCTGTGGGCAGGGCCAGCATAGCAGGTCCAGCGATCAAACCCCTGCACTAGCTTGCAGGCGTTTTAATCCACTGAGCTATTTGGCTGACCCTTGCAAGACCCTGTCTTTAAAAAATGTTTTTTCTTTAATTTTTTAAAAATCTTTTATTGGGGCTGGTGAGATGGCTCAGTGGTCTAAAGCACCTACTTAGAACAAGCTTAACAAAAGCACAGGGACCGCGGTACGATCCCCCAGCACCACATGCCAGCCAGCCCCTCCCCCTGGTAGGCTGAGCTGGCCACACACACACACACACACACACACACACACACACACAAAAATAAGTAAATAAATAAAATTAAAAAAAAGAAGGACCATATAAAAAATCTTTTATTTATTTAGTACAGGGTCTCACTATGCAGCTCAGACTCATAGAGATTCTCCTGTCTTAGCCTCCTCAGCACTGGGATTACAAGTGTGCACCACCACACCCAATTTCCGTGGTCTGGCTGGGTGCACCGGAGCCAGCATGGTATGTAATACTGGGAATAAAACTCAGGTCCTTGCTCCTGCCAGGCAAGTGTTTAGACTGCTGAGCTATCTCTCCAGCCCTCACAAAGTATTTTTAAGGGGCCGGGGAGATGGCTCAGTAGAATAAGCGCTTGCCTGGCAAGTACAAGGGCCTGAGTTCAATCCCCGGTTCTGCCAAAATAAAAAGGTGGAGATATAGCTCAGTGGTAGAATGCCTGTAGGTTCAAGCCCTATTGGTTGGGGGATAAGTGTTATTAATCATAACATTTTTTGAGTTGAATTTTTTTTTTAAAGGGGTCTTTTCTTGGCAGTACTGGGGATTGAACTCAGGACCCTACACTTGCCAGGCAGGCACTTATTCTACCGAGCTATTTCCCGGGCCCATTGAAGGGATCTTTTTGAGACAGGGTTTCACTGTACAGTTTGGGCTGGCCTTGAACTCACTTTATATACCAAGCGGGCCTTGAACTCTTGGTAATCATCCTGCTTCAGCCTCCCGAGTGCTAGGATTACAGGTTTGCACTTCCACACCCGGCTAGCTTGAATTTGGTGGTAACAGAACAGAGAGATGGGCACTCTTGGGTAGCGGTGTGAGGCCACATGTTCTTTCAGTTTTTCAGACGGAAGGTATCACAGCGGGTGTGCCTGTTCATGGGTGTTTCAGTAGCAAGACTAACTGAAGATGTCAAAAAGAAATGCTGATGACTGAGAAAGTGTTGATTTAAGCAAAACCTTTTTGATTTTTTATTTTATTTATTTTTTTGCGGTACCAGGGATAGAACTCAGGACCTTACACTTGCTAGGTGCTTATGCCACTGAGCTACATCCCTGTCCCTAAGCAAAGCATTTGAGCTGGGCCCTACATGGCCTAACCCAGAACCCATCCCCTCGTTCCCCACTGGGAACAAGGAATTCAAATACAAAACATTCTTCCTGCATCACTGGACAAAAGATAGCAGCTCCTTTCCTCTCCTCCACCTCTGCTCAACACCAGTGGCCACAGACAGGCTCCCTTGCCTCTGGCCTGCTTCCCACCTGAGGGTGGTAGCAATCCTCCAGTTCCAAAGGTGTGAGTGGACGAGGCCCCAGTGGAAAGGGACTCCTAAGGGACAAAGGCTACCTGTGGCCCAGCACTCATCTATTTGGCCATCTAGGTGGGTACCTTCTGCAGAGACTGTTAGGCTTTGGACCTGAGGATTCTGAACTGTTCCATCTTGTCACTCGGGAGGGTCCAGGAAATGTGTAGTTCAGTAACATGTCGCACAGGCTTCATTTGGCATTTGGGTCAAAACTCTCTCTCTCTCTCTCTCTCTCTCTCTCTCTCTCTCTCTCTC